GTGAGGTATGTGTTTAGTTCAAAATAATTGTTTGGTTGGAAGGGTTTATTTATTTATTTATTATTTATTTTTTTTAAAAAAATTAAATGCATTGGATAATATATAAAATATAATTGGATAAAGTAGGTGAAGAGTATGATGTTGGGGTTCATGATTGAATATATATTTATATATTTTAATTTATTTTGTGCCTTCTGATTGGCTTAGAGGACTTGACTCTTTACATGTAAGATTCCCCTTTTGGAATCATCCATTGGGAATATGACATTAAAAATATTAATCTTTATTCTATTAATTTTTTAATTTCTCTTTTAAGAGAAAATTGATTTTATTTGATTTAGTTGGATTTAACTTTAATTTAATATCACTGACATTAAATATAAGACACGACAAACGTTAAGAATCAGATAGTATATATATTATCAATAAGAACATGTTGAAAGGACTCGTGTCGGTTCGTGAGGATAATCTTCACTCTTAAAACTGAGAGTAAGTCGTATGACATGTCGCTGGAGAATGCCGGGGCCATGTAACACATGGGGCATTATCAATGAAGCTTCGATAATGGGTGACGGTATTCATATATGTGTGTGTATATATATATTGAAATTAAGGTAAGAATTAAATCAAATCTCAACCAAAAGAAAATTATAAAAATAACAAAATTAATTCCAAAAAATTATAAAACTAAATATATTAATTGATTTAATTAGCATCTTTGATATGATTGGTAAAGTAAATAGATGGTACAAATTGCAATTGTCTTGTCCAAAGCTTTAATTAATGAAGTTTGGAAGCTATTCAAATAATTGAAGTTCCATTATGAATTAATTGGGATTAATTAGTGCTAATTAATTAATTGGATTACTTAGAGAGTGACTCCCAACTCAATATAGATTCCTTTTAGTAGCTATCACAACCTCGACTTTCGTAATTATTTTATTATTTCGTATTTTAGTCTCGAGATTTTAAATTGATATATTTAATTTCGATGTTTGATTTTGTTTCTTTAAAATTTAGCTCGTTGAAAAGTAGTAAACTCTAATTAACTTGTATTAATTGTCATGTGATCGTTCGGTTAGGTTAATTCTAACCCGAAACTAATCGAAAGTCAATTTTAAACTTTAACTCAAAATCTCGAATAGTAACGGAGTTCAAATTTCATATATTAATAATATATTTTAAAATATATATAATAACCAACAAAAACGAACTTTATTGTCACACACTATTTTAGAATTTGTATGCATGAATTATTAAACATTATTGTTAATTCATTGAATCAAAACCAATTTATTTATTTATTTATTTTAATTATTATGAACAAATTGAAATTTATTCATTGCTTAAATAAGGGTCACATTTAATTATTTGAAAGCTTAATCTCAACTATTTATAGATATGAGTCTACATCTAAATACCTCTTTCGCTATTGTTTTGAATATCTTTAACTTGAAGTGATATTAAATATTTAAATATTAAAAAATTCGATGTTCGAGATTTGAACAAAAATTTAGAATATGGATTCAATACTTAATAATCATGACATTTTTCTACATACCCAGTGACATAACTACGTTGACTAATCGTTTCGGATTGTAAGAGCTTACATTGGTTGGAAATAGAAACGAAATATTCTTATAAAGGTGTGGAAACCTCTTCCTAGTAGACGTGTTTTAAAATCGTAAGACTGACGGCGATATATAACGGGTCAAAATGGACAATATTTGCTAGCGATTGGCTGAACTATTGTAAATGGTATCAAAGTTAGACATGAGACGATATGTTAATGAGAGGAATGAAATATTCGTAACAAATGTGTGAAAATCTATTTGTAACAAACACGTTTTAAAATTCGAGGTTGTCGACAATAGAACCCGTGTATTTTTAAAAACATGTTCATTAAAATTTTATGATTAAAATAGTAAAGAAAATAAAACAATATTTTTATATATTTATTACCGGGCAAATTATTTAACTGCTAATAACTACTCTAGATCGGACGGTGGAGGAAGCAAGTAAGAGGGAGCCGAATCTTGATCGGGTCATCATGGTTTTCAAAATTTGAAGCAAAAAAAAAAAAAAAAAAAAAATCGATGCGGGCCCCACTATAAATATTTTATTTTATTATTATATTTTTCAAAGGACATTTTGGACTCCCCCAATATATCCGCTTTGCCCCCGAAAAGCATAGAGGGGCCTTCATGTGATTTTGTACCTTTCACTTGGCATTTTCGTCAATTCCGGAACTTTCTAAAATCACTTTGTCCTCTAACCCACGCGCTACTCCCTTTACTTCTTTTCAACTCGCCCAATTGTCGCTCAAGCGTCCCTCGTGTCCTTTCATCTGAGCGAGTACAGTAACGTATCTTACTCGCGACGTAGAGATTGTTTGTTTTTTTTTTTTTTTTGTGTTTATCCTCTCTCTTCAGTTAATTCGTTCACGCGATGGGTCCATCTTCTCAACGAAGACCAACCTTATCGTTTTCTTACAAACACGAATTGAAAAATTAAATAAAACTGCACAATTCATTTCTTTTATTACCATTTTAATTTATAAATTTATAATTTTTTTTAGTCTAAGTCCACCCTTGATATTGTCTACTTTGACTCGTTATGTATAATCTTTAGTCTCCCGATTTTAAAATGCATTTGTTAGAGAGAGGTTCTAGACCTTATGAAAAATGTTTTGTTCCTCTTCAAACCAACGTAAGATCTCAAAATCTGCCCCTCTTAGGAGCCAATGTCTTTGCTAGCACCCACCGATATCTAGCTCTGATACCATTTGTAATAACCTAAACCCACCACTAGTAAATATTGTTCGTTTTGACTCTGTATCGTTATCAACCTTACAATTTTAAAACGTGTCTGTTTAGAAGAGGTTTTCACCCCTTATAAAAAATGATTCATTCTCCTCTCAAACTGATGTGTGATTTCACATCATATAAATATAATCTTTTGATTTTCACGACTAAATTGGTAATTTAGCAAATAACTTTTTTAATTTTAATTTTTTGTCAAAATATTATTTTATGGCTTTATGGAATAAATTAATATTTAAATGATGGTTTCAAAAAAACCAAAACGAGAACTCCAAAGGTAAATTAATTTAAAAAAAAAATATAATAAAATAAATACAAAAAGAAATATAATCATTAGGCCAACCTCCAAGTAACGAATGCCAAACGGCCAAACCAACCAATAGGAATTAAAGAAAGAGAGAGAGAACAACCGATTACCAGTACAGCCAGTTGTCCTCTCGACATGGCATCGTTCTTTCCAATGGATAAAGTTCGCCCGGTGGGGCCGGTTATCCGGTGGGCGTCCCAAACTGTACTGTAAACTGCCAGCTAATTTCTTCTGGCACCCACCGCCCATGGTAATTCACAATCAATCTCCAATCACACCTTATCCTTCTGCCACGTGTTCTCATTAGTTCAGCTGCTACGGCACGTTACGCTTTCCCATTAGTTCACGCGCCCTCCAACTCCACGCGCTTTTCATGAACCTCACGAACTTTACGGAAGGCGCTTCGAAAGTGAAAGTCTATATTACCCCGGGAATTTCCGAGGAAAGAGCTGGAAAAGGTGGAGAAATTGGACTTTTTGTTGAAGCAAAACGAACTCACGAAGGTGGGTGGAAACGAATCCTCTGCGGGTGGGCCGCTTCAACTATCGTAAATACTCACGTGGGGATTTTTAGCACCTCGTCGATTGATTGCATCTAGGCCGTTCATTTATATCGTATTGCACGGTGGGGATTGATCCACGAGTTTTTTTTTTTTACCGGAGAAAAGAATAACTCCTTTTTCTTCTGTCGTGTGAATTTACGGTTAGGCCCTCCAAGTGTTATATGATTTTTGGGAGTAATTTATTTATTTCATTTTATATTTTGTAACAAATTCAACATTTTAATTTATTTTTATAATAAAATATAACGGTTTTTTTATAGGTTAAATCTGTCTTGATTGGATAATTATTTTATTAATTAAAATATTATATATATATATATAGTTAATTTAGATATTGTCATTTGCTTTACCTTTCATAGCTTTAATGTGAAATAAGATCGGTTGACTTTGTATAAAATTTTAAAATTGAAATGCTATGCATCAAAACAAAGCATATAAATTTTCATTTTAAAGTTGACTATTCTTGACCTACATATACATTATAATTAAATATATAAAAATATATTAAATAACGGGCGAGCATACTTTGTACTTGACATTTATACTCATATTTATGTTAAGATTTTTTTTTTGGCAATACGGTAAAAATGCCATTTTATGTTAACTATAATCTACGGTCACATATAATAAAATGCCATATTTTATTTTAAATATTATTAAATAATAGCAACAGAAAGATGGTGACATAATTTTTTTTTTGAAATAAAATAATAAAATAATAAAATAATAAATATATTGTTGGGTAAAATGGAAAGTATTTCATTACAAAATATTTGAAAATAACATTTAAAAATATAGAAAAATAATATCTGGAATCAATCCTCATAAATTCCCTATTCCATATAAAGAATTTATGTTTGAATCCTTGCTATTATTTGTTTACTATTATAAATTCAAAATTATTTTAAATTAAAATTTATAAACTAAATATATTTAATTTTATTAATTAAATTGTTACGAGAATGGATTTAATTATCTTTTAATTCACTAAACTAAATTCTGTTCATGAATTAAATAGTAAATACCAAAGTGTTAGAGGGGTAAAAAGGTAAAAAAGTCCACAAGTAGAGTGGGCAACATAAACACGGACGGAGAAAAACGCGTTTCGGATTTGGGGCGTTTGGTTGAACCACCTAACAACGACCAAATTGGTTCACATTTCTCTCCCTCAAAATTAATTTAATTTATTTATTTTTATATAAATAGTAATAATAATAATAATTAATAATAATAATAATATATATAAATTCATTGGGGGTTAGTTTACTCATTAAAGCATTAATATTCTTGAGCTATAAAACTATAAATTATCCTCTCGAAGCAACTTTTTTTTGTTTTCTAAGCCTTTCGCTCCTTTTCTCCTCGCTTTCATTTTCTACTGTTCTCTCCCTCCAGTTTCTCTCTCTTGCCTCTCTCTCTCTCTCTCTCGCCGGTGAATCTCCTTTTCCTCTCGTCGGTAAAGTGCACGCCGTCTCCGAGCACTGCCGTCTTCAGCCTCGGAGATTCTCTCTTTATTGCCGCTTGCGTGTGCTCGTCGCTTTCCTCCGATTCCGCTCTGGAACCTCTGGATCTCGGAAAATCTGGTTGTTCTTGTTCTTCGTCTCTTTTGAGAATGTGGTCCGCTTCCTCCTCCTTTCGCTCCTGCGCTTGAATGCTCCTACTTGGACTGTGATCTAGGGTTTCGGTTTCTGGATTTTCGATTTGTTTTTAACTCTGTTTCTCCGTGGTGGTGCTGTTTCGACGAAGAGAACGAAGACGGAGGCGAGTAAGAATAAGACGCAGCTCCGGGATGAGATGGTACGCATTTCGTGTTTTTTTTTTGTGTGTGTGTTTGATTTGTTATTATTTGCGGAACACAAAGTTATTTCGTGTTTGGTTAGAATTTTGACGAATTTATCTTCTTCTGTTTTACTTTTCAGATCTAGTACATTGTTCAGGTTTTGCATCAATTTTGTTATTGTTATTAAAAATATTTTTGTTATTTGCTTTCTCTGTCCTCTTTGTTTTTACGAGGTCAAAGAGTCGATTTCTGGTCGTCGAATTTGTATGATTGGAGAATTGGTCGTGGATTTGTGGCTAGAATTTTTGCTGTAATTCCATTTCCGTTGACTTATTTTCGTTCTCTTAGTTTCAATATTTTTGTTCCTGTATTGTGATTGATCTAAATCTTCATTTTCCTCATTGTCACTATTTATCCTAAAATCTTTGGTTACTGTTCCCTCGTTGAGGAGGATGACTTGACTTGGTTATCTCAAGAGAGTTGTTTTTGTTGTATCAGTTTAGATTTCTTAGTAAAAAGATACGGCGACGAGTTATTTGTGCACCTATGGCGGATGTTGAAAATTTCTGGCTTATTCGATCTTTTAGGACCTTGCTGTATTTTTCTTTAAGATTATTAATATACACGGTTCGCCTTGAAATTCTATTCAAAATCTGTTGAGGGATATGATTAGTGTTATCGGCCTAGATACGGTTCTTTGACTTTCATAATAAAGTTAAGTCGGGACTTCCTGGTGGCTATGTGACATCTGTATGTTGAAGAAGAACGACGTAGGAGTAGATTGATCGCCTGGGGTTTATGAGATGTATTTCGACTTGTAGCAATCTAATTTGCATGCATTGGAATGTGGTCAGCCGCATTGCTGTCACTTTCATGTGGTAATTTGATGTCCGGCGGCTTTTATTTTACAAGAGTTCCTTTGTTTTGAAAATTGAAATTGTTTAGCTGAATATTAATATGAAGTTTGGACGCAACTACTTCCTAAAATGGGTAAAAATTTCAGTTAATTTCAGGTTTCGATAGATTGAGGGGGGCTTGGACCTTACTGTTATTCATTCAATTGATATGTTTTTTTCTTACATATGATGGTAACGAAGTGTTAGACGTTGGCTTTTGACTGGCTCTTGACAGGTGGAGGGAAAAAATTGTAAATCGAGAGAGGATAGAAATGGGCTAGCTCTTCTGAAGCTCAAGAGGCTTCAGGCTACAAATTCTGAAACTGCCAACAAAACTTCATCTGTCAAGAATATGATGAATAGAAGTGGAGGTGATGCTTTAAGGGTCTCATCTACTTGTGGTGTGAGATTACTTAGTGGCAATGTAGAAACCTTTTCTCGTTCAAGTGGCATGTCGAATGAGAGGGATGTCTTTTCTAAAAGGAGAGTAGACAAGTTTGAGTATGATGATTTAGAGTGGACCGAAAAGATTCCGGAATGCCCTGTATATTCTCCGTCAAAGGAGGAATTTGAGGATCCTTTGGTCTATTTGCAAAAGATAGCTCCTGAAGCCTCAAAATACGGTGAGCTACTTGCCTCCTGTCTATAAGTTGCTTTGACCTTTGAAGTTTGGCTTTTGTATGCATACAAATATTTTCGTGGAAAAATATGCTGTTTTGTTTTGTGTGATGAAATGACGTCTCTTCTATTTTTACTGAAAGAATGGAACATAGTATTTGTTCTGGGCAAACTAGAAGCATCTTTTGAAATTGATCGCTAATCACACACTATTGGGTATACCTGGGTTAGATTTTTATGTAATTGACGCTAACACTACCAAAAGATTTTTCATGCAACAATAGAAGTTAAAACAAAGTCGATTCTTTCTCCTCGTAAGTGATGGAGGAAATAACTCGATATTGTCGGTATGCAATTGGATACTGCAAGAGCTAAGGAAGTTAATGTGATTTGGACTGGACAAAAATAATTTCCAAAAATATGTCAAGAAGCTTATTTATGCTAACATTATCTCACCTTTTATGTCACAGTCCTTTTTGAATTCCCCCAATGAGATTACCAGAAAGCTTTCTAGGAACCATTTTCTTTTTTGTCTTCTTTCCCAGCACAACTTTGTTGTTTTCTGTGATGGCCCAAATGTAACTGATATTTACTTTCTTTTTTTTTTTTTTTTTAAATAAACTGGGACTTTCAGGCATATGCAAGATTATCTCCCCACTGATTGCTTCTGTTCCTGCTGGTGCTTTATTAAGTAAGGAGAAACCAGGTTTCAAGTTTACAACGAGAGTGCAACCTTTTCGCTTTGCTGAATGGGATACTGATGATCAGGTTACCTTTTACATGAGTGGCAGGTGAGCATTCTTTGTATACACATGAAATTTGGATTATATCTCTGGTACTGAATATGTAACCTGTCATTTTAGGAACTATTCATTTCGCGATTTTGAAAAATTTGCGAACAAGATATATGCCCGTAGATATAGTAGTTCTGGATGTCTACCTGCCTCATATATGGAAAAGGAATTTTGGCGTGAAATTTCTTGTGGAAGGACGGAAAGTGTAGAATATGCTTGCGATGTTGAGGGTAGTGCCTTTTCATCTTCTCCATCTGATGAGCTTGGGACAAGTAAATGGAATTTGAAGGTGTTTCTCTTTCTTTGTGTGTGCTAAATGGAAAAATGAGGCTTAACAGTTTAAAAAACAAAAAATGCGTACATAGTAGAAATGAACTCATACGTTTGCTATGCTTGTTAGTTTTTGACGACCCATGTTTTTAGACCATCGCTGGAGCTGGAAATTCAAGCCGATTAGTTAGGATATATGTGACGTATGCATATCTGTAAAAAGAGTTAATGGCACACCTTGAAACAATAGTAAACATGCAGTAATTTGCCATCAAATTTTTGTTGCTAATGCTCACTCCTAGGTTTTGCTCTAGCGTTTTTCAAAGAAAAAGGTATTACTTTACGACATTGAAAGCGTCATCTTGTGAGACAAATTTATTCTTCTCTTCCACTTACTTTGAATTGGAAGGAATTTATTCTTCTCTTCCACTTACTTTGTATTAATTTATTCTTCTCTTAATGAGAAAATAAACATAGTCAACAAGGAATTTCACTTCTTAGAAGTAACATTTGTAGATGTTGATGTGTTCATCTCCTAAAATGTATGTTTGCTTATTCTCGTATATTGCATTTTGTTCCAGAATCTTTCTCGGCTGCCCAAGTCCATACTACGCCTGCTGGAAAATCCAATACCGGTAGGGTGGTTACTTTATATATCATGCACCATCTTGTTAGAACTAAATGTGTTAAATGATTTTTTTATTGGCATCTATAACAGGGAGTAACGGACCCCATGCTTTATATTGGAATGCTGTTTAGTATGTTTGCGTGGCATGTGGAGGATCATTATCTATACAGGTAGGTGTTCTTATATTACCGTTGTTGGAAATCAGATAGACTTTTTGGTTTATATTAGATTTTTGTCAGTTTTTATTGGCACCCACTGTTTTATGTTGATAATTTTGAGGTACTAAGTGATACCTTCAAGTTCGTGTTAGTCCTTCACCTAATTAACTATTCACTTGTTGCAGTATTAATTATCATCATTGTGGGGCATCTAAAACTTGGTATGGCATTCCTGGTCAAGCAGCTTTGCAGTTTGAAAATGTTGTCAGGGAGCATGTATACACCCAGGATATCTTATCAACTGTTGGAGAGGATGGAGCATTTGACGTGCTTCTGGGGAAAACAACGTTGTTTCCACCCAGTATTTTGTTGGATCATAAGGTGCCTGTATACAGAGCTGTCCAGAAACCCGGGGAGTTTGTAATCACCTTCCCCAGAGCATATCATGCTGGATTCAGTCATGGTAAGACATTATAGACTCCGACTTTGCAGATTCATTGTCATTTATTACGATTGCTCATTATCTATCATCCTTTAATTTCCCCTTTCCTTGGATTGCACAGGCTTCAATTGTGGTGAAGCAGTAAACTTTGCAATGGGTGATTGGTTCCCCCTGGGTGCTGTTGCCAGCCAGCGGTATGCACTCCTGAACAGGATGCCTCTACTTCCTCATGAAGAGCTTCTATGTAAAGAAGCAATGCTTCTCTATACAAATTCAGAACTTGTAGACCCACATTATGCTTCTGCAGAGTCAACCTCTCATTATTCTATCAAGACTTCTTTTGTGAGTATGATTCGCTTCCAGCACCGCGCTCGGTGGTCTTTGATGAAATCAAGAACATGCACTGGTGTTTCACCAAATTTTCATGGAACCATTCTTTGCAGCTTGTGCAAACGTGACTGCTATATTTCTTATATCAACTGCAATTGTTATGGACATCCAGTGTGTCTTCGTCATGGTATGCTCATCTCCCTCGTTGATTTAATCTAATAACTTGATGAGTACTCATTATGCTCGATTACCCTCTAATTGTGATTGTTATTTTCTGTTCATAAATGTATATTTCTGAAGCCTTTAATTTATGCAGCACGTGGATATATCAGCAATTTGATTTCATAGAAATTACACAAAAATGGAAAAAAAAATACTATGATATCTGTAATAATTTGTCTTTCTTTTCCTAAAAAAATAATGTCTTATGTTTATGAAATTTTTTATGCTTTTGGTTGTTACTGATCAATGGATTTCTGAACCAGATATCAAATCTCTGAATTTCTCGTGTGGTAGCAACCGTACACTCTTCTCGTGTGAGGATATTTTAGAAATGGAATCTGCAGCTCAGAAATTTGAGCAGGAGTGTGGAACATTGGATGAGATTGGGGGGCAAGCTTATAATGGTGAAGAATTATATTCTTATCCTCTGTTAAATTTATTTAAACGAGATGTTGTGGACGGATACACTCCTTATTGCAAGATAGAAGTGCAGTTGAATTCTGAATTTACTGCTGCGGCTATCTGTCGCTTGGGAGAAAATGAGTGTGTTTCCAGTAGCCAGCCTACACAAAGTTGTATCACTGAAAACCATAGACCTGAACCATCAGATCCATCTCTCTCTTTTGAAGCGTCAACTTTTTGTTCAATTGTAGACTATAATGAAACACTGTCCACCACTAGCCATGTAAGACCTGATTTCGAGCTCAACTTATCCATTTTTGTTTGTGACTTTCTTGATCAAAGTTGCCATGTTTAGAGTATTGAAAGAATAATTATTGATACTATTTTCTCAAACAGGTACAAAAAAATTCAAGTTTTGAACAGTCTTCTGAAGTTTCGAACAGGGCGCTTGAATCATCACGTAACAATTGCTCAAGTAAATCTCCAGGCAGTGTACGTGTATCAGAGCTAACGACTGTTGTAGATCGTGAAAGTGATGATTCTGATACAGAAATTTTTAGGGTCAAGCGTCGCCCTCTGAAGCTGGATAAAAAGACCGGGAGCGATGCCACATCTTTAAAACATTTTGCTAGCCAGGTACTGTTGTTTTGGCCATCTTAAAATCTGGTCGTGGTTGATTTATTCTGAAAGTCTAGCATGAGAAAACTTATAACTTTCGTCTCGTCTAAAAGTACTTCTATTTTTTCAAAAGTTGCACACTTGCTCTTGAACTTTCATAAACGTTTCAAAATATCTTTGAGATAAAAATTTGTTAAAATATTTGCACAAAAATTAGAACAAAAAATAGTATTGCCATAATCTAGAACAATAATTGTCATAAGTCACTTTTTATGTCCAAGTTCTATCTTAACATTTCTCTACTTCAAGAATAGTTTTATAATATTTATGAAAACATTTCTCTACTTCAACAATAGTTTAGCAAATATTTATGAAAAGAATTCTCTACTTCAACGATAGTTCAGCAAGAATAGAAAAAAACAAATAATGTTTATAATTTAGCCAAAAATAATTTAATGAAAAATTACCTTTTGTTATGCTTATTATTATTATTTTTTTTTTGGGGGTCTTAATTATTTTTATATGCATTGAATCTTGGCTTTTTGTGTAGACAATAATTATTTATCATTCATCATTTCATACGAATAATGTCTTTATCAAACATTCAACAAGATACTTGAAAATAATGAGACACTCTCATTGCCCATCATGAGAAGTCTTTCATTATTTCCAAGTCTATTTGATTAACTTGTTTTTCCGTTGCTAGTGGTACTATATTTTCAATTCTTTCTGAAATTTGGGATCTGTTCATCATTATAGCAGGATGGCCGCAAAAGATTGAAGAGACTCCAAACAAATGGGAATTCTGAGGGAGTAACGCCATCGTATGGTCGTGGAACTGACAACTCACGTTATAAATTATACCCTTCCAGTACTTACAAGGACTCTGCAGAGAGTGATGCAATTGACAAGTATAGCAGAGGGAGTACTATTCCCATTTCTACTATGTGCCAGAGATTCAGCAAGGAGAAACTAAATAGTAATAGACAGCGCGTCTATGAACTCAACAATCGCAGGAGGGAAAGGTTTCAGCATGAGATGGGAAAGCCCAAAAGGGTACTACATCCACATCCCTCTATGGACACTGGGTCAAAGCGTGTCAAAATTAGAGGCCCAACACCCGGTCGGCCCGATTGATCCTAATGGGCCTGAAGCTCGGCTATGGTGGCCTTACCTCTCTCTCTGTACAGCCGCATTTGATAGAGAGCCTGACTTTGCTAATCTTAGTCTTCATTAATGGGGGTTCTAACCACAACACAATGGAAAAGCCATAGATGATTTGATGATATGATTATTCTTCTGGGAGCAGTGATACAGCCATTTAACCTAGGATGCAACATTTTAACATTCTTTGTGAAGGCCTTAAAAATGGGGGCCGTTCGCACTCAGTCACATGTGGCGATGATGATGATGATGATTCAGATTCTTGAGGGTAACCCGAGTCGGTACCGGGCCATTTATCCCGCCGTCCTGGGACAACCTTATCTGCAGCAGCTCTGCTTTAAGCAGGTAGATGGTTTAATCAATTTGATGACTAGTTTTTATTCTTCTTTTCTCACTTCCCTTTTTGTGAGGTGGGGATTCCCACGTTCATTTGAAAAAAGAAAAAAAAAAAAAAAAAGAATACATAGCGCTCTCGCTGCTTCCATTTTCACGTTCTTTATTCTTTCTGTAGCGACAGGTTACATGTACCTTGGACTACTCGAATAAAATGCGAAGAATTTCCTTCTTTGTCACTTGTTGCTAACACTTGGAATCTAGACACGAACAGTAGGTTTTGTTTGAAGAATATTAACTGCTATCATCTCATGCAGAGAGACAATATTTTGGGTCTCGTATTCTTGTGGTGGGGGCAATAGGCAAAGCGCTGCTGCTCCCAGTCCCAGGTAAAGGACATGTTTGAATGAGTGGTGATATTGTTTTATTCTGTTTAGAGATATGGTTGCGTGAGACAAAACTATCCCCCACCCATCGTCATTTCCACCTTTTTATTCCCCCACCCCTTAAAGATGAAAAGAGAATATATTTGGTTTGAATGGTGGGGGAAGGTACCAAACCAGAATTTTTAGAATGAGAAAGGAACCTTTTTTTTCCTTTTGAAAATAGCTTCGTCCATTATAGCCCTTCAATATTGATTTGGTGGAATACGTTAGGTAATGTTTCTTATGAAGTGAATAACGTGTGGGTGTAGAACTGGGGGTCTGTGTATATCAGGTTTTGTGGGAATTTCTTTTAGTTCATGAATTTTTTAGGCTTCAAAAATTAACAACCCACTGATGGAACATAAGTTACAAGTTTGAATTTAATTGATTCATTTTATTTTTATTTTTATTTTGTATGATTTAAATAGACCTAATTTTAACCAATTAGATAGATATGAAATATAGATGAGGTTTGGGCTGATGATTGATTTTATGTTTAATCTTTTGTACTTTTGGACTTATTTAATTTTCGCAACTTAACCTATTGAACTATGCTTTTGATTGAAATATATAATTCTTCTTTTTCTTGACTTTCGGTCATAGATTTATTTGACACGTAATTTAAGATTTAGCTTTTGCACTTAGAAGTCTTTTTTTGCAAAAGATTCAAAATGTTTCATCTTTTTTGTTGATGTTGTTATGTTACTTTATTTGCTTAAATTGTTTGGGTTCCTATGACTTCGACAACTAGCTTTTATTGGATATTAAAACAAACAAAGTCTTTCCTCTTTCCCCTCCAAAACGTGCACAAAATTCAACATTTTTTTTGTTTTGTTTTCCGACTGATTATCTCATCCTATTGGAAAAATATTAAATAATCCAGTGTGCTTCTTGTTCGAATTCTCATTTCTGGCTAAGATTCGAGAAGAAAGTTGGGGCGTTTTGAACCTTGGATTTCAAAGCCCAATATTACACGAAGCCCATTAAAAGCAAAAGCAAAATTTTCACGTTGATTCCATCATCTCTTTCTCTCGACTCACTTTCCTTTTAGATTGGAGTATATGTGTTAAGTAGGTCGCATTGGTTTTAGGGTTAAAATTTGCATTGAACCAACATACGGGTTCAATTCTTACCAAAATCTTGTATTTGTTAACAAATCATTAGGAGGAGTAGTCTCGTTGATTAATTAAGAGGAGGATCATAGATTTATATGTAGGAACACTATTCCATTGGTAGCTCACATGAGACAACCCTGTTCTCAGTAATGAGGTCAAGGTCGAGTTTTTTTTTTTTTTTTTAAGATAAATCTAACCAACATGAACTTAGACGTAGATGAGTCTTACCGGAATAGCCATTCACGGAGAACACAAGAAAATGTCTCCTTGGCCTCTGCTGACTCAAGGAGAAGTAGAGTGAAATGGATCAAATTAAAAATATACCATTGAGGCACGTGAAGTTAGGTTAAGTTCTCCAAGTCAGATTTTGACATTAACAACGGTAATAATAATAATAAAAATAAAATAGGGTTTATGCTTTAAAATTTTTTGAACTTGATCGAAGTGATAATCGATTACCTTACTAAGTATATACATATTAAATAAAGCATAGCTCATATAACGATAAGATAAGGTAAGAAAGTGTAACAAAATAATATATTCAATAGAAGCAAAGTGGGTATGGAAGTTTGGGTATTTTGTTGATATGTGACCAAATCCCATAAAACAAGGTATGGATGTAAATTTGACAAACATTTAATTAATTAAAAATAAAGTATTAATGTGAGATTCTCCCTTAAATTTGACCAAATCAATGTTTTTAAATAAATGTTTGAATTTCTTGTCTTCACAACCCCTTTTGTCTTTGTCTTACCTTTGGTTAAATTAGTCAAAAACATTTTGAATTTGAGGTTATGACCTCTAGATTACCCATGCAAGATTTTTTTTTTTTTTTTTTTTTTTTTAAACAAGACTGAAGTTGTAGATTATTTATTTATATATATATATATATAAATTGAGTTAGATAGGGTTGGAATTTGACAAGGTTAGAGACGGGAAATATAATCTTCGTCCTCAGCCTTATTTATGTTAGTAAATATAAGACATAACTTGATTGAGGATAATCTTTTCTCTTAAAAACAACTCAAATATTGAGCAATTAAGAATTTCATAGTCAGGCCTATAATATCCCTTAAATTTACCAAAAATTCCAATTTTACCTCTCTCAACTATAAAAGTTTCATTGCAACCTTTTAATTTTGAAATTAAAAAAAAAAAATATATATATATTTTATAAAACTAAATTTTTTCAAAAATCTAGGGGTATAGTTGAAATTTATCAAGATATTTTGTAAAGTTTATTTATTTTTAATTATGAAAAAAAAAAACAATTGTAAATTATCCCAATGTAAGAAAATTCAAGAGATTTAATTTATTAATTTGTATAGAAAACAGAAAAGAATTAAATGCTTTGAATCTTGTTCCATATATTCACAAATTAGAAACCCTAATGTAGAATTCCAAGGGATGGTTGACATTTAATGCCATTATTAATTAATCTTAATAAACAATTAGAAGACTGATTTATCTTAATTATGATTAACAAATATGTCAGTCTTAAATTTTTATTTATTATATTTAATTCCCGCATTTATTGCTCCCAAGATTATTTCATAATTTTTTATATTGTTGTCAGAAAATAGACCAAAACCTAATAATAATAATAATAATATTATTATTATTATTTTATTTGTTTGTATTTAGTTTATGGTTTTCTTAATTCTAAACCCTAACCTAAGCAAACAACCAAATCTTAATTAATAATTTAAATTCTCTATTCCCATATTTCTAAAAAAATAATATATAAAATAGAATAAATTACATGGCCCTATAAATAAGGATATTGCTTTTCTTTGTCATTATACCATTCTTTTTATTTAATTCTCTACTATTTTTTAATTTCTTTTTTTTTTCCATTCACTAAATAAAAAAGAAAAAAAGTGGTTCGATCAAATTTACTCGTTTGTCGAATAAGTTCATAGGTTCCTTAAAATTAGTTTGAGTTGAGTAGTGTCGTTTTTAATTCCATAATTATTATTTTTTTGATTACTTCCTTTTAAACTTTTTGAATACAATTTTTTTTTTAAATATATATTAAAATTGAGCTACACATTTTAATTCAATATTTTAAAATAAATAAGTAAATATTTTAAATATTAATATTTACTTTCATTATAAATAAATAAAAGAAATTTAAACAAATGAAACATCCAAATCAACTCAACCCAACTCAAAATTTAAGATTGGTCCAAAAGATTTTTTTAACCCAACCCATATACATTCCTACTGTTCGGGGTGACAAAAAAAAAAAAAAAAAAAATCTTAACCCAAGTTTCAATCCAATGAGATTGAAAAAAAAAAATGACTCAATAAATTAAACATAGTTTATATCAATTACTTGATGATAAATAACTCTCAAAATCCAATTATTTGGATATGAATTGATGGAACAAATTTATGTAAATATACTAAGAACACTATAATTTATTGTGGAGAGAGAGATATTAATTAATTAATTAATTAATTAATTAATTAATTAACACAAAGAATAAAAAAGGATAAAAGGGTCAAAGTTTAAGATAAGGTTGTAGGCTATATATTCTACATAGGGTTGAACAAACCCTAATTAAAATGCCCATTGTCTAAACCTATTTAGCTTTATTATAAAGTTTCACATTTTGCCAATAATCTTTTGACCAAAACATCTTTCAAATTAAATAATAATAATATCCAAATTAAATATTACAAAAAAAAAAAAAAAAAAAAAAGTTTAAATGTTTTGTATAGTTTTTCCAAAAGTAATAACTTTAAATGTAGATTTTTTTTTGTTGGAGGATGAAAAAGAGAATTCATGTTTTACGGGAGATTCCACGTCGATTCGAGAGGGGAACGAACCATTCCTTATAATGGTGTTGAAACCTCTCCCTAGCAGATATATTTTAAAATCGTGAGACTAATGACGATATGTAATGGGTCAAAACGGACAGTATCTGCTAGAGGTGGACTTCGGCTATTACAAATAGTATAGGGTTAAGATACCAAACAATGTGTCAGTGAGTACGTTGAGCCCTCAAGGAGGGTGAATTGTGAGATCCTACGTTGGTTGGAGAGAAGAACGAAACATTTATTACAAGGGTGTGAAAACTTCTCCCTAGCAAACACTATTTAAAATCGTGAGGCTAACGACGATATGTAACGGGTCAAAATGGACAGTATCTGCTAGAGGTGGACTTAGGCTATTACAAATAATATTAGGGTTAGACACCAAATAGTGTGCCAGTGAGGACGTTGGCCTCCAAGAAGGTGAATTGTGAGATCCTACATTTGTTGGAGAGGAGAATGAAACATTTCTTATAAGGGTGTGGAAACTTCTCCTTGTATTAGAGCTAGACACAAGACATTGTGTCATTGACGACGCTGGGCCTCTAAGGAGGGTGAATTGTGAACTTCTACGTTAGTTGGAGAGAAGAGCGAAGCATTTCTTACAAGAGTGTGAAAACTTCTTCCTAGCAAACTCGATTTAAAATCGTGAGGCTAATAACGATATGTAAAATCGCATTGGATGTTGTCTCGGTTCATTCATATACGCTTCTAATGTTTATAACTATTGTCGGGTCAACTTTGATTAAAAAAAAATCCACCATTATTTGTGTCTTAATCGAAATGTCGTAAATTGACACGATTTTGTGTAACCCTTTCTCGTATATAATTAATTAGTTTTTCCTCCTCGAGAGTTTCTTAAAAAGTTGTTTCATTCGATCAAAACACTTCTTTTAAAAGATATCCCGAACCCGACCTTTAACTAATGAACAACGAACTATCAATTAATTGATGTAAATTAACAAAGTCAAAAGAAGATTTAGTTTCTAAACCATTACCAATTCCAATATGATAATTTCATTCATGGTAACAATCTTCAAGATGCAACTTAATTTATGTTCTTAAGAAGAAATTTTCTCAATTTCATGGCAGTGCCGAGTTCGTTCCTCCCTCTTTCTCTGTTCTTTCTCTTTCTCGATCTCGATCTCGATCTCTCTATCCCTTTCTCTATGTGCCTACGTTGTCAAGAATGTGTTGATGAAGGAGTATATGAGAGTGAGGAGGCTTTAAAAGGTCGTGGGGCGGTTATCTCCTGCGAAAATGACGCCTCATCGAAAATCTCGCAATTTCCGACGAGGTTTGAATTTATTTATTTTAAATATGGGTCGTTAGAGAAAAAGTTTTGTCTCTAATAATAAAGCCTAAATTTCCAAATTAACAATAAAATCTTCCATTTTTAACTTCTAGAGAAATCAATCATGAGTTTCAATATATAAACAAAGGGGAAATTAGCAAAAAAAAAACCCTAGGATTCTTTTTTTCCCCTTTTTCTTCAAATTAGGGTTTTGAATGAAATGGGAAATTTTCTTGTTCGTTTTATCAAGCGAAAGCAACTAAGCTCGTTCAATTCCCACAAATGACCTTAATCAATTTCGAGAAAAATATATTGAGAAACATTTTAGGGTTTAGAGTTTAGGATATGAGACTCACGAGCTACAATGTTTTTTGTCAAATTAAGGGTCAAAATTAAGATAAAACTAAACTTATAGACCTATCTAAAATAACATCGATACACGTTCAGACCCGGTAAATGATAACTTGAACATAACTCAAACGTTGAAGCACGAATAATGTCGATATATTTTAACAATGTTTTCTATAAGTTAAAGGTTCAAATCTTCGCCCTTAATTTTTTTTAAAAAGTTTTGAGGTTAAACGTAAAAGGTAAGGGGTAGTTTGGTAATTATGCCACGAAAACGACATTGGGATGAATTTTTGGGAAAAGAAGAAAAAAAAAAGAAAAAGAGGGAATGATGAAAACAAAGCATTGGTTTCAGTTCAAAAAAAGGGAATTTTGTGAGTGAGAGGAAGCTAGAAAGGTAAGAGAATGAGTTGTTAAGGGACAAATCCACATATTAAAGTTCTAACTCTAAAATATTAAATTTAAATAAATATATTTTCCATTTTTTCTTATTAAAAAAAACTAAATTAATAAAAATATTATCTAATTTTACTTTTTTTTTTTTCAAAAATACCCTTAAACTTGATAATACTTATTTTTTTAAAAAAAATTAAATATATTTTTATGGTTAGTACCCGTTTTAAAAATACTCTTAAATTTTTAAGTAATATTAAAAAGTTTGAAGATAATCTATGAAATGTTGATAGACGTTCGTAGTTTTATTTGATAGCATATTTCAAATTATTATTATTATTTTCTTAAATTCAATAAAATATATCTTAAAATAAATCTCTCTGTGAAGTGTCATTTTCTCACATATACTTCACTCAAAAGAAACAACCATTCACTTCATATACCTTCTGCTCTCTCTCTCCCAACTCTCTCCCAAATCTCTCTCTTTCTCTCCCAAATCTCTGCCACTACTCTCTTAAATTTGATAAAAACCCCCTCTTCAAAGAACACCAGAAATCTCTCTCTCTCTCTCTCTCTCTCTCTCTCTCTCTCTCTCTCTCATCAGTTGAAGAAGAAGAAGAAGAAGAAATGGAACTGTTTGGAGGGCAACCAGACTTATCTCTTCAAATTAGGCCTCCAAATTCAAAACCCTCTTCCAAGGGAAGCTGGAGAACACAGCAACCCATTTCCTCTATTCCTTCACACAACCCTCTGGATTTCCTCTTTTTCAATAACTTCCCTTCTTCTTCTTCTTCTTCTTCTTCTTCTTCTTCTTCTTCTTCTAATTTTGGCCCTTCTCTTTCTAATCCTAATCCCTCCCATTTCCTCCACCACCATCTCCTCCCCGCAGCTACCAATGTCGGTGGTGGTGGTGGCGGCGGAGTTTTCCACGGTCATCCCCGTGATCTTCATCATCAAGGCCTTGGATTCTCGACACCCATTAGGGGAATTCCCGTCTATCAAAACCCTCCTTCCTCTTCTTCTTCTTCCTCTTCTTACCCGATATTTGGGAGTGGCGGTGGCGGCGGCGGTGGTGGCATTCAATTTAACTACAACGCCCTTCGATCGAGATTATTGGCGAGGTTTCCAGCCAAACGGAGTATCCGTTCGCCGAGAATGAGGTGGACTACCACTCTCCATGCTCGTTTTGTTCATGTTGTTGAGTTTTTAGGTGGCCATGAAAGTAAGTAAAAGCTTACACTCATATCTCTCTCTCTAACTTTTTCCTCTCTCTTTCTTTCCCATTTTTTCTCTCTCTAAAAAGCTTGCAAAGATTCATTCCTCTCAAAGTTTTTTCTTCAAATTTCTCTTTTTTGAGCTTGATTGAAAAAACCCACCTTGTTTTTTTTCTTTAATTCTTCACTCTCTCACTACATATTTGCAAATTTTCATCTCTCTCTCTCCTCCTTTTCTCTCTCTAAAACTAGAGAGAGAAAGAGAACTTTCCAAAAGAAAAAAAAATGAAACTCTCTCTCTCTCTAGACATGAATTCAACAGCTCTGATTTTTATATCTGAAATTTTTCGATGTGGGATTTGATGATTAGGAGCCACACCCAAATCAGTTCTTGAGCTCATGGACGTCAAAGATCTCACCTTGGCTCATGTCAAGTCCCATTTGCAGGTTTGAATCACTCCCTTTCTCTCTCTAAAAAATGGGTTATTTACGTTTGAATCACTCCATTTTCTCTCTCTAAAAAATGGGTTCTTTAGGTTTGAATCACTCCATTTTCTCTCTCTAAAAATGGGTTCTTCTCTCTCTAGAAAATGGGTTCTTCTCTCTCTAGAAAATGGGTTATTTAGGTTTGAATCAGTTCTTGAGGTGTGCTTAGATTCAAAATAATTAGGAGTATGGTGGGGTTGGGGTTGGTAGCAAAGCTGGTCGGATTATGAAGAAACTTCTGCATTATTGTACTTTAATATTTACGAACCTGAAACCATTAATATATGGCCTTCACATTTCTAACTATAAATGTTTCAAACTTCAAGGGCCTTTCATAAATTTCTTGCACTCATAAGGGCTCTTCTGCAATTTTTCTTTCTCCACCTTTTTTTTTCACTTTTAGAGAGAAACAGAGAGAGAGAGATTGGTTCGAGATGTAATGTTTTCGGACTCCCCGTCCGTCTTAAACGACTCTCGGAGTTCATGCTGATAACGAGAAATTATCCGAAGAAACCGTCACAACCTAGCTAAATAATTTCTGTGATATCCCACATCGGTTGAGGGAGGATAACGAAACACCCTTGATAAAGCATATTCGTTTTAAAAATCTTGAAGAAAAGTCAAAATAAGACAATATCTGCTGGTGATAGGTCTGAGGCCGTTATAGTTTCAATTCACCGTTAGATGTGTGGGAGAGAAACTGCAAACGTATCCCGAGCTTGTATTAAGTAGTTATGAACATGTCGATAAGCTTTTGAATCTACATTTAACGGTTGTTTTCACGATGGGCTCGTTAAATAATTTTTCTTCTTCTAAAATTAGGGTTTTTGTGATATTTATATAATCCCTTCATCTCTTTTTACAGATGTATAGAACGGTAAAGACCACTGACAAAGCTGCTGCTGCTGTAGCTTCTTCCGGTAAATTTAACCCTTTTTTCATCAAAGTTAGCACGTTTTGCCTAATACGTTAATTTTTTTTATTAGAATTAACACGAGTTTAAGTTACGATATAAATGTAGGGAATTCGGAAGTTTACGATCAAAATAGGTCATCGAGAGATACAACAACAAAAGATACAACGTACGAAAACGAGAAGTCATCAAGAACAAGACTTAACACTCCGACCACTGATTCTCCTCGGCATCAACTCTCGCCATCCTTCCACCAAGAATTTCGTAAAACCGTCAATGGAGAACAAGATCATCGTCGTACTCACACCGACCTTCCTGCCTTATGGAGTAATTCTTCGAGGTAAAACATAAAACCCTAGCTCCCTTCTCGAGAAATTATTAATACATATGATTGTCTATTCTAAACCGTTTGATATACGAGAGGGTTAAAAACGATACGATGACGTTTTTTTCTTTTCTTTAATATTAGAGAAGCTTTATTCCAAGGCATTATTCCAAAGGATTCCTCAGACAACCAGGCCTCTCAGCTTGATCAGGTACTTCATTTTCTAATATTTATAACAATTATTTTCCAAAATTAAATGCTACCCATTTCTTAAAAATCAGTAAAAAAATAGATTTTTACATAATTAATTTAATTTTAATTTAATTTTTAATTTTTTTAAAATATTAGAGATATTTGGAAGACAAGAGCTCAAGCCATGAAAGAACATCAGATGGAAGCTCACTGACAAATCTTTCAGCTGGAACCAGCCCACAAAAACCCAATTTGGAATTCACTTTAGGAATATCCATTTAGAATTTATTATTATTATTATTATTATTATTATTATTATTATTTGTAATAAAAATTTACCAGAAGAGAAAAAAAAAATTAATCAAAGGAAAAAAGAGACAGAAAAATAACCAAAAGAAGAAAAGAGTGGAAAAAAAACATGTTTTTTTTTTTTTTTTTTGATGTTTTTTTGTTTTTCATCAAGGTTGGCTATTAGTATATTCTATGTGAAATTATAATTAAGAATGTAATTTCTTTTTAATATTTCTCGATGTAAATACATAAAAATCAAGGCCATCATGCATGCAATTCATTTTGAGAGAATTTTCTATTTATTTCCTTTATTTTTCAACTTTGTTAAATATTTTTAAATTAAATTTTCTCATTTCTAACAAAATTTGGAACATGGAACCGTGTTAGGAGTATTGCGTACTTAAACATTATACCAATTGTGGTTGGCCCAATAGTTTTCCGTGTGACGATGACCTAGAATAAGTGGCGATTCAAATTACAGTTTTAGGTCACTGCCACGTCATTCTAGGTCGATCTTATAACTTATGATAGATTATGGACGTTTTCTAAATAAAGGATAACGTTTGTTTGTGTTTTTATAATCTATCCTTTCTTAATGTTGTAGACCCCAAATCACTTGTAGATAGTACTAATAGAGCTGATAATAAAACGAGATTAGTATTTATACTGCCGTAGAGATCTCAATTTTCATTCTCTTCGAATTCATATTTTTTAGCAAATGAATACCTGTGAGATTCCACATCAGTTGGAGAGGAGAACAAAACATTCTTTACAAGGGTGTGGAAACCTCTCTCTAACAGGCGAGTTTTAAAATCATGAGGCTGACGACGATACATAACAGGCTAAAGCGAACAATATTTGTTAACAATGGGTTTGAGCTGTTACTAATGATATCAAAGTTAGACACAGAGCTATGTGCTAGCTAGAACGCTAGACACCCGAGAGGGTGGATTGTGAGATCCGACATCGGTTTGAAGAGGGAATGAAACATTTCTTATAAGGGTGCGAAAACATCTCCTTAATAGACGCGTTAATATCTACCAACGATCTCGTCACCAACCTACCCTATTCTAGTTCGTACCAAAATTTAAAAGTTACCCTAAGAGTCATTATCAAAATCATTACTTTAGTTATTGCACTTTGAATTTGGGAATTTGGGAATGGATAAAAGCCTTAAAAATGCCACATTTACTTTTGTGACTTTTTTAAAAAGAATGGCTCTCAATTGTAGTTTTGAATGCCATTTCACCAACAAAGGGAACAAAGTATTACCCTAAACCCTTTAATTCATTACAATTTATCTTTTTTTAAAAAAAAATTATTAATAATTATAAAAGAATTTGAATAACCCACGAACTAAAATTTTCATAATTGATGAACTGATGAGTCGTTTTCGAATAATTCTCGATAAGTACTTGTTTACTAAACTAAGGTCTTCTTAACTGATGCATTGATGAGTCGTCTTTGTGTCCCGACTTTTAATAATTCAAAAAAGTTAACTATAAGTAGATTTATATTCGGTTCTCAATCATTTAGCTTTTGAAATAGATGAATAATGCCAACCATTTAGGTTTGAACGAGAGAATAAAGATATGCACGAACAAAAAGATAGGTATTACTTATATCGCTTTTTTGAACATGGAATATGGTGGGCGAACTTGTTGAATTTCAACATAGACATTGAGTAAAATGAGTTAGCTTTAACACGGTTTCTCTTTATTAAAATTATACGAGCCACTTTTTTCTTTTTATTTATTTATTTATTTTATTTTGCTGGTGAAAAATCATCAACAACAACTTGGAAGAAAAAGTCACTTAAAATTTATATTAAAATTAAAATAATTAATATTGAAAAATAATGGGAACTTTAATAAATTAAAAATAATAATAAATATTTCATAAAAATAAAATTTTAATCTAAAAAAATACACCCAAAAAGTGAGAATTCCAACTTTATTTTTATTGTTTTATTACTCACAAAAGTGGACGAAAATTTATTAATACAATGAATGAAATGAAGAATTATTTTTAGTATTTATTATTTCTAAATTAATTTTAAATATAATAAATAAAACTTGCACGTAAGGATCGAAAAGTAGTTGCCGTCAAAAGCCACAAAAATAAAATAAAAATAAAAAATTAAAAGAGAGAATAAAAGTTATATAGTAATTACTATATGAAAAAAAAAATATTATTACCATCTTTTCTTCGAAAATAAATAAATGAAATAAATTGATACATTACGACTCACAAAGAAAAGAGCTCATATGAATCTTCTCAATAGAAACCCCGAGCCACTTAGAACAGAAGTGGACATATTTGATCGACGATCAAGCAAATTATTTGGGAGGGCGTAAAGTAACATCATGAATACGGAGATTCGTTCCTGTCGAAGATTATAGAGAACAGTACGCTAGGTCACTCTCCATACCATTTGATACAGGCACTGAAACGATAAACCAAGTCATAATTTTGTGTCGTGTTAAGATATTTAAAGGACGAGGCTAAGAACGTTGAGGATGAAAATGAGACATTGAACGTTTTTTTTAAGCGTAGCCTATACGTTTTTTATATTATATTTTTATTTGTTAACTTATATTAATTACCACATTGATTCCAATTTTATTTATAACAGCTTTTAGATTTGCCTTTTTTGCTAAGAACACACACGTCGGTCAATAACATTCAATTGCAGAACCGAATTGTCAAATTATTTAACCATCATTACATTTGCGTTTAGGCCCACTTAATTCCACGTGGCGAAATCCAACACCCTTGATTTTCGAGCCCCTGCAGTCCCTGTCTTCCGTCAGATATGGATAGCGACGTGTGCTCTACTGGACCCTACCGTCCTTGATTTCATCTTTTTTTAAAATTAAAAAATATATAAAAAAAACCCTAAAGTTTACAATTTGTCTAAAATACAATAAATTAAACTTTTTAAAAAACATTTTAGACTTTAAAAAAGAAATTAAAAAGTACTCTATATCAAATATACTTTAAAAAATGTTTTAAAAATAGTCGTTTTTTAAATTTTATTAATACTTTTAATTTTTTTAAAAAAATACAAAATTACCAGGTAGTAATATTAATGTCTTAAATTAATAAAAAAAATTAAAAATTTGGAGATAATTTATAAAGTGTAAAAAGACGATATGTATTGGTATATTGGTAGTAATACCTTTATTATATTAAAATTAAAAGGGTTTAATGATACTTTATATATATATTATTATTATTTTTTAAATATTTAAAATTATAAATGGTTGCGTAAAGTTCAAATTATAAAATTTCCTTAGCACAACACAACGCATTATAAGGCGATATTCTCGCGGGGAGAAAAGAATAAATAAATAAAGCAATCGCACACACGCTTTCAATTTCTTCCCACGTGTGAAAGTGACATTTCAAAAAGAGCCGCAGTGGCTAAGCGACACGGTCAAAGACTCAGCACCCAGCGTCACCGCCAATCACCGTTGAGAGCGTTTTTAATTTATTTCATAATTTGGAAATCATTTTGTATATGATTGATGCCTCGCTGACGGCCCTGTCACCCTAGCACCAGTGTCGCACCTTTGTCCTTTCTACCCTTTTCCGTTGGGCAGCACGGGCAATCCAAACCTATTATACTCGGATTGTGACCATTCTTTATTAGTCCTGTCCTCTCGGGCAGTCTTTTCCTTTTCTACCCGGCATTCAAGAGGGCTATTTATTTTCTTTATTCTTTTTATTATTTATTTATTTATTTTTACTGAATATTAGAATGTATTTAAAATTGTACCTAATTACTTTAGCCACTTCTTTTCTCTTTATTTGTTCCCTGGTCCAAATATTCTTGCTATTTTGTCTCTAGATCCTTCCCCATCGATGCTTAATGGTAACGTTAGCAAAATAACAGTAGATCCTTACGAACAAATAAAGTTGATGCTCGAGGATACAATGGTTAAAAAATACGTAAAATAATAAAAATTATCATATATACTAACAGAATATACACTACTATAATATAATATTTAGAGAATATATTAGTTATAAAATATATATTATATATTTTATTTTATTATCAATGTTTAATTAGTTTATATTTTTTCTTATTTGTAAGTATCAGTTGTAGTTTGTATCATATTTAAAAGTTATGAATATCAATGGGAATACAAAGTTACGATTCTAATTCTATTTTTGTTTCTCATTCTTAACATGGTATCATAGCACTGATCTTGGTATGAATATTAAAATTTTCTCTTGAGTTCGGGTTTGGTATCAGAGCCAAAGCCAAAACCTAACTCAATCAATGAAGCCTTCACAGTTACTGATCATCCATCGTGATAAATCAAATCGAGTATCACAACAACCGTAACTTCCTTCTTTCAATAGCTTCCAAACCATCATCATTGTTTCCGAATCTCAATCATTCTACTAGACCTCTACTAGATCGAGAACTGTGGTTGGCAAACTGTTCTCGATCATCCAATATCAAGAATACGTTATAAGGATCTTCAAATTTCTCACGAAACATGTCAAAAAAAACGTATGAACAAATATATATGTAAAAAAAAAATGAAAATTATCATATATACCAACAAAATACACGATTCTTTTCAATAACTCAATCATAAGAACTTCAAAGTGAAGCATGCTCGGTTTTAAAAATTTATTTGTTCGGTGATTATTTAAATTTTTTCAGAAGCATGTGAGTGAACATAAAACATGTTAAAATGAAAAAAAAAATATTTTTTTAAATCTCCTAAATGTACTCATAAAAATTTAGAATAAAATACTAAATAAAATAAATTAGAGGGGTGAATTTGAAAATCCCAAAATCAAGAGGGGGTGGATGGAAAAATAAGTTGTCAGAACCTGTGACACTCTGACATTGTCATAAAGTTTTAATATGGATATTAAAACAATAATATAATAAAAACATTTATATATTTTTATATAAAATTTATCCCATAGTCTGCAGTGAATCATTCATTCATAATGGTAGGTTTTGAAAATGCAGTGTATGAAAAGAGGACGATGATGTGACGTGTGCTGAATTGTATGTATTATGACAGCTCCCTCCCATCTGTTTGGGCCCCACTTTTTTGTCGTTTTCCACACCATAAAAATAAAATTTGGTCTTTTAATTCCAAGCACGGAGCGAGAGCTCAAACAAACACTGAGTAGTGTACCAACGAGTATGTTTGTCCCCAAAAGAGGTAGATTATGAGATTCTACATCAGTCGGACAGAGAAATGAAACATTCATGATAAAGGTGGGTAAATCTTTTCTTAATAAATGCATTTTAAAAGTGTGAGGTTGACGGTGTACGAACAAGATATATAAAAATAAAAAGAAGGTAAATTATGAAATATAATGTGAACGCCCGAGCCCTATTTTACTTGTGATCGACTGTAATAAAATGAGTAAAAAGATAGATGCTCGGGATTAAAAGACTGTAGCAGTAATTTTTTATCTAAAGTATGTGGAAACGTGCAGGAAACACGAATAACAGTAAAATTTATCTTTTTTTTTTCTCCGATTTAATATTCTAAAATTAATTTTAAAATACCTATCATATAAAATAAGTTTTTCATTTTATATCTCGTTAAAAATTTGAAAAGAAAAATAAGAAAATTTTAATAAAAAATAAATACAAATTTTTAAGAAAAGGAGGGCCCATTAGCAAATATTTGGGCCTTTTAGGTACAAAAGGAATTGGGCCTTGAAAGGCGTCGTTGAGCCCACAGTATAAGTATCAAGTTATGGGCTCATTTTGGAGTGCTGAATATAAAATTCAAAAGACTCCGGTCACCATGTGCCGATCGCGCCTCCTGTAAACTCCTTATCCATTTTCCTCATTTTCTTCGCGCGAAGCTCTAATGGCTTCGGCGAGCTTTACCAGCGCTCTGTGTTTCTTTTCCCAAAACACTATAAGAAACCTCGAGGTCTCCTCTCCGATCTTCTATTCTAGCTCCAATGGCGTCGAATTCGCTTCCAATTCCATCGGTCTCACTTCCTGCACCGGCCTCCCTCCTGCAACTTCTCGTCTCAGTTCCCGTTTCACTCGTAACTGCTCCTCCAGCACCGCTCCAGTTCGCACTTTGGATTACGAGGTACTTCTTCTTCTATGATGTTTTTTGTTTAGTTCGTGGAAAAATTGGAACTCTGAATTGTATGTCGCTTCTTTTATATTGTTGAATCTCTTTGTAGTTTAGTCTGTACTAGCTGCGTTCATGATTTTTGGAAGTATTTCTTGGATAACCTTTCGCATTTCCTTCCAAAAGTGGTAAGCATTGTATCTGGACTGATTATTGTTAGAATGTGCTTCTCTTTTCCACTCGTTACTCTAGAACGGTGTATTTGATCAACATTCGTTGAACTAGAGGTTACAGAGCTGAAGTTTTGTATGCAGATGCCTTGTTGAAGCTGTGGTGAAATTTTGGGTGCTGTTTTATGTGTTGTCTTTATAAGACATGTAAGAAGTTTATTAGCAATGAATAATCAATCCATTTGCATTAGTTTAATACACATAATGTTTGAAACAAATTGGTTTATGTATCTCGTAATTACCATAACTCACTAAAATAGCATAAGAAATGGCAGGAAACATTATAATAATTGCTACGGTTGCATGTGTTGTGGCCATTAGATGACGAGTTCTAACATCATATAAGCATTAGCACTTTATACTAAATGCACTCACCCAATAAGGATGATTTTCTTCGTTCCCCTGTCTTTTACCCCCCTATTTACTAAATGAAATTCATGCAGTTCACCGATGGTTCTTCTGAAGTGGAACTGAGGTTACAACTTGAGACTCAAGACATTCGAAGTTCAAAAGATGTTTTTGTGGATGCAAATGAAACCTCTTTGACTATTAGAGTACGACGCTTGGGATCTATTGTTACTCTTCTGGAAACAAAGCAACTATTTGAGAAGATTAAACCTGCAGAAACAATATGGTTTGTCGTTGTTGTCATTGTAGATAACCTACTACATCCAGTATGAATTTCAATTTCTGAATATGACATTGCTTATGTTGAACAGGTATATTGATGAAGATCAACTAGTTATAAGCTTAAAGAAGCATGATCCAGACTTGAAATGGCCAGACATTGTAGAGTCTTGGGAATCCCTAACAGCAGGATCTACACAGCTTCTAAAGGGAACATCTATATATTTGATAGGGGATGCGACAGATATTAACCAAAAAGTTGCTCATGAACTCGCGGTTGGACTTGGGTACGGTGTTTACTCTATCTTGGGTCATTTTAATCTTCCAACGGTCTAAGTTGATAATGGTCGTCACATAAATTGCTAGTTTATTTGAAACGACTGATTGTTTGTAATGTTCATCAACCGAATTGTGGCCTTGTAACATAACAACTTAAACAAGGTAAATATTTTTCTCCAGATAGTACATACTTCATCAGTTATCATAGGTAAGAAAAACGTTAACTCCCATTTTTCAATTATTAACATCAAAGACTTTTGACAAATTTATGCCCTCTAGGTGTTTTGAAATGCCCACTTAACCGTGTGCCTAGGCCCATGACATTCCTCAATGCTCAATGCCTACTAAGGAAAGTTTGAAGTTTAAATTAATACAACTATTAGTTTGAAGCTTATATCAAAGTTTTGGGGCATAAATTTATTTCCCTCCAAAAAAAAGTCTTACCTCGGAGGAAGAAATCTATTAATATTCTTAAAATGTCCTTGTTTTTTTTCCCTATAATCTCAAATAAAAACTATGCTTTCTTAAAATTTTATCACGTTATTTTTTGTCATACAATATTTCTTCATATACAAATAAATTATTTACATATTTCTTTTGTGTATTCATAAAAGCCCACACTTTTTTTCGCCTCGTACTTGAGCCATGGAGGGCTATCGTGCTCTAGTGTGCCCAAGGCTTTAAAAAACACTACCCCTTTCTACAATTATTCCTGCTAATTTTGTCAAACTTTCATCTGAGAAATTTTATTGGCTTCATTCTTAGGTATACTCCACTGAGTACAAAAGAATTGCTGGAAACGTTTTCCAAGCAGAACATTGATTCATGTAAGTACTATTTACTCTAGCCATGCTTTGATGCCACTAATTACCATCAGGGTTGTTGAGGATTGTGGTTGTTGAGGATTGTTGGGATGGAGTCCCACGTTAGCTAATTTAGGGAATGATCATAGGTTTATAAGCAAGGAATAGTATCTCCATTGGTATTGAGGCCTTTTGGGGAAGCCCAAAACAAAGCCACGAGAGCTTATGCTCAAAGTAGAAAATATCATACCTAAAATGGTATTAGAGCCATGCCCTAAACTTAGCCATGTCAATAGAATCCTCAAATCTCGAACAAAGTATTGTGAGGTTCGAAGGTATAGTCAAAAGTGACTGAAGTGTCGAACAAAGGGTGTACTTTGTTCAAAGACTCCAAAAAAGGAGCCGAGCCTCAATTAAGGGGAGGCTACTCGAGGGCTCCATAGGCCTCAGGGGAGGCTCTATAGTCTACTTTGTTCGAACAAAGGGTGTACTTTGTTCAAAGACTCCAAAAAAGGAGCCGAGCCTCGATTAAGGGGAGGCTACTCGAGGGCTCCATAGGCCTCAGGGGAAGCTCTATAGTCTACTTTGTACGAGGGAAGGATTGTTGGGGATTGTTGGGATGGAGTTCCACCTTGTCTAATTTAGGGAATGATCATGGGTTTATAAGCAAGGAATAGTATCTTCATTGGTACGAGGCCTTTTGGGGAAGTCCAAAGAAAAGCCATGAGAGCTTATGCTCAAAGTGGACAATATCATACCACTGTGGAGATCCATCATTACTAACAAGGGTCTTATAAACTTCTATCCCTTTCAACCATAAACACAGAGTTTTTCTAGAGAGAAAAACGGATTTCCTTGACTACTAACAATTTAATAATTTGGTCTATATTGATTCTGAGGTCAGAATATTATGTACCTGTCTCTTTATTTCTCATCTATTAGAAAAGTGCAGAATGGAAGGCCCTCACTAAAAAAGAGGACTCCAAGCCAAAAGGGAAGCACAGAAACTTGCACAAAAAAGATCCCTAATTTTTTGTAACAGAAAATAGTGGGTAATCACAAAATAAATTTGAATTAGGAGTCTAGAAGGAAGCGCTAAATGCGCTACCTCCTCATGCAACTTCTTCTTCTTCTTGATTTGAGGACTCAAAACTGCTTCTATCATCTCATTGAACTAAAAAAAACAAAAACTCTACCCCAAGAAATTCCATTTTATGGAAGTAAAAAGGCCCACGAAATATGATTCATATCCTCTGCCATGCTCTTACACACCAGTTACGACCAAAGACAAAAGAATAGCTTTAGTATTGATTCTTCTGAGGGCTGCAAGCCAGCAAAGAGCTGCATATTCTCTAAAAATTTAAACTTCCACTGAGTAAAGAAGAAAGAGTGTGTGTGAGAAGAAACCGAAAAGACACCAATCATAACAAAGCAGAAATAAAGCGAAAAACTTAGAAATTCTCAGTTGCAGGGGTCGGCCTCGGCCTCCCACTGTCGAACATCCATGGTGATTGCCACCATTCTTGTTTCTTCAGATAGCATTCTTTTTGAAGCTTTCTGCTCCCCCCTTACCATCCCAACACCATTTGGCGTTGGAAATTTCATGACTTGGCTGTAAGCTGATGGAATGGCCTTTAATTCGTGTAGCGTTGGTCTCCCTAAGAGTGCATTATAAGCTAAAGAACAATCCACCACAAGGAAGTTCACCATCTTCCCTACTGACTTGGAGTTTTCCCCAAAGGTCATGGGAAGTTCAATGTTGCCTTTAGAATTGATACGATTGTGCCCCTGAGAAAGTCATCGAGGATGATGACTAAGTTAAGTGGGAGAGAGTGTCACAACCTCACTGAGAGAAAGTAGGGTGTGACCCCCACACGTAAGATAGCTAAGAGGCGACTCTCAAGTGGCGCCCATTCGGCCACATGAGGATCAAAATTGAGAATTGCCATGATGCGACTAAGGAGCACAGTGCATCATCCAACACACCTAGAGTGCATTGAAGCTAAGTAGAGACATACGCAAGGTTCGAGAGAACGAGGGGACACGAGTGCCGAAGACAAGCTCGAAGAGGGTTGGGTAGGACCTCGGGCCATAACCTCAGAAGTCGGGATTTCAATATGAGTTTTGGTACGCGGCTTGAGAATTAAGTCCGTCTGTATGAAAGATGAAAGTTCACCAAACCTTCTCCGAGAAGGGTTGGACAGCTCCTTAGTCGCTCTCTTCCGAGGTTCATTGTATTAAATGTTGTCAAAGATAGGACATCGGTTGAACTTCCTCCATTGACCAAAATACGATGGACTTTCGATTGGCGATGGTTAGAGCTACCACCAAGACATTTTGAGATGGATGGAGGGCCTAAACTCTTTAAACTCGATATTTTGGGTCACACTCTGCACATGGGCTGAGTACACTCCATTGCCCTCAGGTGCAAAGCTATACTCGTGTGACCCAACCCAACGCCTTTCAGAACCTTGAGCAAGACCGTGCAATTAAACCCAAAAATAAACCTAGCCAAGTGTGTTGATGCGCTGATCCTGACCTTAGATACTTGTAGGGAAGTCTCTTATACTGCGGTAGTAAGGGTCCTACTCTCATTAATTGATTTTCACATCAACATTTTATTTAGTGGTGTGAAGTTTAGCTACAATAAATGTAGTTTTATGAAAGGGAAATTTCTAGTGTGAGCATAGTGGGTACTACGAGAGTATTGGAAAATTTTCTGCTACTCAAGTTTAGTTTCAACAAATTCTAGATAGATGTGTGTTTTTGCCTCAAGACTTGCGAGACTCGCCCATACTCCAAGCTCACTCATTAAAACAAATAATAATAGAAAGAAAGAGACTCAGTTCATTCCTTAAGGAGGCAAGGAACTTACATAACCTCGATCCGACCCAATTTGAATTTTTTCAATATTTTCCACAAGGGTGTTCCCTGCGTGAATTTCTCATCTTTGGATGCATAGGTAGACATTGAAAGATACTCCAACAATTGTGTGAGGAATACTAACAAGTTCCACATTCGGTTCATGGTTTATAAGTGAGGACAATTATCTCAGGCCGTATGAAGCCTTTTGCATGATTCCTAAAAAAAAAAACCATTAAGGCCTATGCCCAAAGTGAATTATGTTATACCATTAAAAGATAGGCGGAGGGTGTTTTGTTCTTATCCAATTATTTTCAAATCTACAACTTGAAATTTTTAGAAAATTGGTGTAGCCAAAGAAAAAAGGGGAAATTCTCTCCAAGGAGTCTAAACTCAATATTACCAATCCAATGTTAATGAATACAAGAGAGCAATTCTCTATTTATCTTTATAGTGAATTGGAACAAACCAAAAGTTTAAAACATAAAATTAGAAACTAAAAGGATTTATCCAAGAATTAACCCGAACTACTAAGGTTAACTAACTATCCTCGCATGCATATTCACAATAGGAGGCTTAACATCAGGTTCCTATGATTTACCATTTACCTCAAGATTTGATAGTGCCAACTCAGACAGAAGCAAAATTGCGTTACACGCTTTGAAATGACTTTTATCCCCGATTTTGCAGTGTGTTAATGACTAATCAATTCCAGGGATGCTTGCCGAAGGCTCTGATGCTGTAGCACAAGCAGAAAACGCTGTATTAGAAAGTTTAAGCAGGTATATCCAAAACTTGTCCATCTTTTTAGCATTTGCTTGATTAATAGAATTGGAGAATGTATGTTCTCTTTCCTGTTGATTATGCAGCCATGTACGTACTGTTGTTGCAACGCTAGGTGGTCGACCGGGAGCTGCAGGAAGAACTGATACTTGGAGACATCTTTATGCAGGATTCACTGTCTGGCTTTCACAAACTGAGGCTACGGGTAACTTCTTCCATACATTGTCTCTGTTCTGTTCTATTTAGTTCCAAAAGAAATAGAAAAAGACAGAAGAGAAACATTTATAAATCTCTATGGGATTAAATTAAGCATTTACTTTCTTTGTCCTATGGATTTCTTTCCCTCGATAAAACTGTTTTTCAGAACCTGAATCTCGGTCGATCTTACCTCATTCACCCTTGTCAGATCATTAATTTTTTAGGCTTTATTGGTAAATAAGTGTCAAGCCAGTATGAAACAGGAGAGCCCTTTCCGGGCAAGGTTCTTTAGGCTCCGTTTTTCCTCTAATATTGAGGGGTTGGAAGAATCCCGCATCATCGCAACTTTTCTGAATTTAAGAACTTGATTCTTTAAATGCAGATGAAAGTGCAGCTAAGGAAGAAGCTAGGAGACATATGCAAGACAGTAAGGTAGCATACTCAAACGCAGAAGTTGTAGTTAAACTTCAGGGTTGGGATGATGCTCATTCCAAAGCAGTGGCTCAGGCAGCATTAAGTGCCCTTAAGCAACTTATTCTGTCAGACAAAAACCTTCCAGGTATACTTTGTGTCACCTAATCTGGAATTCTATTGTATTTGGAATAACTTGCATAAAACATTGTTTTTTTAAACAAAATCAATTCTTATATAAACTATGGAGTATTTATAATTTAAAGTATGTTTAGCATAGATCGATCGGGTATGTTTGGAATACCTTCTAAGTTAAAACTCTTTTGAAAAAATTATTTTTAACAAAAAAAAAGTAATTACATCTATTTTTTTTTCTTTTTTCCAAAATTGTGTTTTTAGTAAAAAAAAAGTCTTGGTTACTTTATATTCAAAAGTGATTTTACTAAATCATAAATATGTTTTTATTTCTTAATACATATTTTAAGCATCAGTTTTAGTCATCTAAAATCATTTTTAAAAGTTACAGTAAACCTATTAGACGAACACGACTCTCCACAATGGTATGATATTGTCCACTTTGAGCATAAGCTCTCATGACTTTGCTTTGGGGTTCCCCAAAAGGCCTCATCCCAATGGAGAGAGTATTTTTTTATATTATAAATCCATGATCATTCTTTAAATTAGTCGATGTGGGACTTTCATCATCCACCAATACCTCACCTCGAACAAAGTGCGCTCCTCTTAGTCGAGGCTCGACTCCTTCGGAGTCTTAGTCATTTTTTACTGCCGTCGAGAAGGCTTGACTCCTTTTCTTTTGGAGTCCTTTGTTCGATATTTAAGGATTTACCAATCAACACAACTAAGTTTAGGGCATGACTCTAATACCATATCAGACGAACACGACTCTCCACAATGGTATGATATTGTCCACTTTGAGCATAAGCTCTCATGGCTTTGCTTTGGGCTTCCCCAAAATGCCTCATCCCAATGGAGAGAGTATTCTTTGATTATAAACTCGGAATTAGTCGATGTAGGACTTTCATCATCCACCAACAAAACCCACACTTCATAATTATTATATTTTCTAAATGTACTCAGAAAATTTTATTTTGTTTAAAAAAAGAAAATTTTCCCCGTTTCATACCCACTACATCTCACACAGAAACATGACTTATTTCTTGTTACATGTTGAGATAAAATTAGAAGAATATTAATGCATATATATATATTACTTCAGACAGTGTTACTGATAGATTGGGGACTAATATCAGATCTGATGCCATTGAATTATGATCCATACGAATATGATATCATACTGACATGTATATGAATTTCACGATTGTCGATATGAAGTCCCTTGTTTAGCTTGAACTTTGAGGTGTTTGTTATGACTCAAAAAACACCCACAAACAACAAGAATGAGTATTTATTGAAAATATTAGTAGGATATCAGTAAAGGCTATTATAGTACTTAGCTAAGCTAGTGGTATTGGTTATAAATAAAGGACAATTGTTATATTATAATTTCTCTTGATATTGTAATATATTACTATCTTCGTGATTTTTTTTTTTTTTTTTTTTTTTTTTTTTTTTTTTTTTTTTTTTTTTTTTTTT